ACAGCATCACACTGAGTTTGTGTCTCACCACTTTGATGTTGACTGACAAGTGGGAGGTTATGCATTTAATTAGGCCTAAAGGGAAGGACATGACAAAATAGTCTTTGTGCTGGTGTGCATGTTTTTATCAGAGGTTTAAATTCTTCCACTAATAACCTTCACAGCCTGAGAGGGAAACATTTGCATCGTGTGGTGACAGAGTAACTGTGATCATCATGCTCTGACATACAGGATCATAACGTGTATGTCCACAGTCAGGAGTTTGTCTCAGAGAGATGATGGCCGCCTCTGACACCGCTCAGCACTCTCTGTAAATGAAGGAGGTGGTAGATCCATTCTGTCAGATCACATTCATTCCTGCTCGTTGTCTCTGTCTGTGGGACTGTAATTAAACAGTGCTGGTTGGCCCGCGGCTGCTCGCTGAGTGATATGGAGGAAAACAACTGTGTCATTTGTTTTGAAGCCAGCACTCACTGGTGCTTCCCACGTTAGCCTCGGTCACTTCCGCCGCACGGTTCAACTTCCCTTGACTCCACTTACTTTTGGCACCACGTCCTCTGTTTCCTTTTCCACTGCAGACGGCACCTCCACAGTGTAGGAGGGATGCTCAGCCGATTGCCATAGCAACGCCCCGTGAAACTGCTGTGACATCATCGCTGAATCCTTTCATCAGCAATCAAACACAGGAACGTTATTACTAAGTTTACTTGCTGCTGTTAGCTGCTAACCATAGCTGCACAGCGGCTTGTTCTTTGACTCGGGGTGCGTGTGCTCAGTGTTGCCAAATTAGTTGCTAACAAGACTCTGTAGCTGAGTGGCGGCTCGTTCTTCAGCTCGAGGGTTGCGTATGTTACTGTGCCACTGAGTTAGCTGCTAACAAGACTCTGTCGTTTCACAGTAGCTCATTCTTTGGCTCAGCTCCTTCAGTGGACACGCCCCCAGCGCATTTTCATGATTTTGAAATCTAATTTAGTGCATGTGCAAATTTTAATCATTGAAATTTTGATTGGTGTGACAAACTTATTACACATATATATTTATGCTTTAACACTGGAGTTGGCTACGCAGTGCACGGTGTAGTTTCTCAGGCTGCCATTTCTTAAATTTCAGGTCGAGTGAATAAAACATTTTCCAGCAGGTTGGCAGTTTGTTCAGGATGTGTCGTATCATGCTAGTCACTCCAAACAGTCAGTGATCTGCAGTGTTTGTGGCCCCGTCTCTACAGATCTTTACAGAGGTTTAGGTCAGTAAAGATTCTGTAATCGTCTGAGGTGCAGACGTTTCATAACGCTGGTTATTTAGTATCAGTGTGCCAAAGGAAAAGAAGCTCACTGCACATGCTCAGAAGCCTCTCCTCTGGTATTTGACGCACCGTTGACGTAGCCTGTTTCACCGCCTGCTGGCCTGCTGAGCGTGTCAAGATATTTTGGATTTTTTTTTTTTTAACAGAAAGAAAATATGTCTTCAGATATATGTGCCACACTTTAACCACACGTTCTCGTACCAGCTCAGCTCGCTTTAAACCTCCACCCACGTGTAACAGTGAAAGCAGGCACCACCCACAGCTTCTGCTACAACTGACCCACGACGGTTCAAAGCAGGTCGCGGTGAGAAGAGCCGAGCTGGACCACGCAGTGAGTCTGCACGTCGCCGGTTTCCTCTCTGGCTGTAAACACGTACAGGTCGACTGAAGCGTAAATTCTGAGGTTTGATGTAAATGTGTCTGCGCTATCCTCCCTGGACACTCTCCTCACTAGAGAAACTTTAACGCTGCATGAATCAACATTTTCAGCCGTGATAGAAACTCCAGAGCCTCCTCTGTCTGAACCTCGCTACAGCGCCACCATGAGGTCCACATGAGACGCTCTGAGTGAAAAGTCTCAGCAACTGCTGGATGGATTGACATGAAATTTTAAACGAACGTTGATGTTCCGCAGAGGATAAATCCTGTGTACTTTGGTGATCCCCGACTTTCCCAGGTGCCTACAGTACATATGTAGATGAGTTTCTACGTAGCAGCGATGTCTCAGTAAGAAACAGCTGCTTATTGTGTTGCATTGACACCAAACTGGATCACGAGGTGCAGAGACATCTAGTGTGGGTGTGAGTCAGATCTGATGGTCAAAAATGAACAAACTGATCTTTTTGAACGACACTTTTAAGTGTCTGATATGTACCAGGTCAGCGTGTCGAACATCCCAGTGCTCATGGTACCTCTCACACTGCCTGTGAGTGAACGAGATGAATCAGGCTCCAGTTCAAACAGCTGAGCAGCTGCACCCACTGAAGGGTTCTCTCTGCTCGTTGAGGAAGAACGCCAAATCAGTGCGGTCGGATTGTAACATCTGTTGGGCTCACATGGCCCACGTACTCACGCTGATACGATCCTGAGCTGCAGCCGGAGGAGCTAGAAGCCACAGATGTAGAGGAAGATGGTGTTCCTGAGGGGCCGCTGCATAAATGGTGACAGAGTTAAACTGGTTGTTGTACTGGTTTGTGAGGTGACAGAGAGGTCGTCTTCTCTTTCCTCTAAAATCTGCACAGTGCTGTGTCTGTAAACCAACAAGGACTCTTTAAATCGGACCACGAGGCTGCGGAGGACATGGCCTGTGTGCAGTGATGAAATACATTAAAATGAATGTGAGCTTTATTAATGTACAGTGGCTGCAAAAGTTTGGGCCCCTGGTCAAAATTTATTTTACCGTGAATAGTTAAGCAAGTAGAAGATGAGCTGATGTCCAGAAGACACAAAGTTGAAGATGAAACATTTCTTCAATATTTCAAGCCAGATGACTTTTTAATTTCATCTTTTACGGTTTCAAATTAACAAAAAATAAAAAGGTCGTGAAGCCAAAGTTTGGGCCCTGCATGGTCCGTGCTCAGCAGCGCCCCCTGTTTGTATCCAGCTCAGAGTCTCTCAGGTCTTTCTTCATGCTCTGCTCTGTCCACAGATTGTGAGGGGCGTGGCCTAACCTTCAGCTGGCTCCTCCTGAGGGCGTCCATTGTGAATTTGGAGGTGTGTTACGGATCATTGTCACCTGTTCACCCCCGTCTGTAACAGGTGGACAGGTGTCCCTCTGTCTTATCCGTCCACCCCTGTGTTTAAGACTTTTTTCTCCACACATACCTTTGGTTCTGTTTTCCCTTCATCAGTCCACAGGACATGTCTCCATAAAGCATCAGGCGTGTCTCGATGTCCCTTCACAAACCTGTGAGTGTGAATGTTGTGGTGAGGACACAGGACAGGTTTTCTTCTGATGACTCTTCCATGAAGCTCATACCTGTCCAGGTGTGTCTGCACAGTACAACAGTGCACCACCACTCTTCCTCTCTCACACAGTTTTCAGCTTGACCTCCACACTTCCTGTTAACGTCCATTTCTTAATGACATGACCAAGTGAGGAAACAGCTCCCTGAAAACACTTTGCTATCTTCCTCTAGTCTTCATCAGGTCTTTGAGTGTTCAGAGTGCAGGCAGCTGTTTAGAGGAGCCCATGGCTGCTGAGTGTTGGGACAAGCTGTCAGGAGTCAGAGGGCTTTGAGATCCTCACGATGACTGTGAACAAGCTCACTGTACACTTCTACACGACTGTAACTGCACTAAAGAGACGTTCTGCGGGGGGGCAGCACTAGCTGTTGAGCGTACATGCACTAACAGAGTCACAGACACTGACACCAAACTTTGCACAAAGTATAAAAGCTCGAAAGGTTTCAATACATCGACCAGCGGAGCTAATCGGCCCGCCCATCACCACTGAGGAGGTGGACTGGTAAGACTAAACTCAAGTTTTACAACCTGACTGAATGGAGTCGAAGCGTATCGTTGTTCTGCAGACTGACGGCTGACTGAGGAAACAGCTGCTGTCGACTGTGAAAAGCTCGTCACGCTTCTTTCTAATAATCAGCGGCGTGTGGGAGAATTGTTCTACGTACGATCCACTCATTTCCACCCTGTTTATAAGGTGCAGCAGGATGCGTGCAGGAGTGAATGGAGAAGGCAGAGGTGTTGAGGCCGAGCATCAGAACACACTGCTGGATGAATACGTGTCTCTCTTTGGCCTTCAGGGCCTTTCACACACATAACTCATCAGTAAACATTTGAGCTATGAACATGGAGCAAGTCGTCTCAGATCTGTGTGTGGTTTTGTGTTTCTATCCCATGATGCTTTTCACCTGCAGCTGTGACTTAATTCTCTGCAAATAAAGTGGAGACGAGGGCCGCAGACAATATCCAAGTATTAAAGAGGATTTCTTTATAACACCCTCCATCTGTCTTCCTGTACGTCGTGATGTCGGTGATGTTGGAATAGGATTATAAGAAGGAGCAGAGGGCACACGAGGGGCCGGCCAGAAGCTGCCTGGCTTCAGTCCGACACCGACCTGACATCTGCTGGCAGATTCCCTCCGTCTCTATTAACACACTCCTCGTGTAGAGCTCTGAAAGATGTGTTGAAGATTTGCGACGGCTTCTGCCTGGAGGATAAAACCTGATGTGGAGATTAATGCTGTTACCTCACCATGAGGTCTGTGTGCGCAGACTGACAACATGATACAAGTCGGTGCAACATTAGATGGAAACATTATTAATCATCACGCCCACCTCCCTGCGTAACCAGGAGGACATGAGTCCTCGTTAATCACGCCGTCATGGCAACATACACCCAATGAAGTGCTGATATTAGAAATCTGATTTATGAAACTCTGCAGAGATGAACACAGGCGTGTTCTCAGAGGGATGCAAACACACAGTCTTCCCCTAAAAAAAAACTACGTGTCCTCTTCCAGATCCATTTGCATGCTAATTATGTTTATCTCTCAGCTGTTGGTGGAACTGAGCTCTGATTAGCACTTTGCAGCTGCCGTCGGCGATGTAACAAGCACCCTTACAATCCTCTTTCACCCAAAACAAAACAATAATTACATGAATGAGTCTTAAAGCAGCATTATTTTTGCTTCATTTCCAGACTAAACGGTTTCCTAATGAAGCCTCAAAGCGACGGGATTGAGAGGCTTCAGTATTTGTGATTATTTTGTCACCGATCTTACAACGGCTCTCAGACGGGATGTCAAACGTATCGGTGAGATGAGCTGGATCACAACGCTTCTTTTCGAGGGATTAACATCACAGACGAGGCGAGCACGCTGAGATAACACTGTGACTGTGGAAACTTTGAAGTAACATCAGAGGAGGTGGGCTTGCTGGAACCAGAGAGGATGAGGTTGTTTACGAGTATCTTGTTTGATCTGCAGCAGATCGTCTTCTGCTGTGTGGGATTGTGTGAGATGGAAAAAAAGGAGAAAGAGAGAATGTGTTTGTTGGAGAAATGAGGTCCTGTGTACTCCCACGGTTTTGGCGTCCTGACTGCTGTTGCTGCTGATTAATGGAGACGTTAAAGGAATATGAAATTAGTGTTTTCCACCTGTGCAGAGGATTCTTCCATCTGTCATTCAGGACTGACATTTTAATTTAAATGGCTTTAACTGTCTCAGCTCAGTGAATCTGCTAATGTTGTTTAAGGACTGATGAAAAGGTGCAGCTCTGTGCTCGCTCTGCTCGCTCAGATTCAGTCAGGGGAAAAAATGTGAGTATCTGCATCACACAGACGGAGACTTTTCTTTGTGCCATTTCGTCTTTGCTCTCAGAAAAAAAACAATTACTCTACCTGGCGCTATCCCGACAGGAAACGCACAGACGTCTTTGTTAAAAACGATCGCCTGTGTGGCGCTATCCCGACAGGAAACGCACAAACGTCTTTGTTAAAAACGATCGCCTGTGTGGCGCTATCCCGACAGCGATATGTCTGCAGGTCTCTAAGTGTTCCAGCAGCCACGCTCTGCAGTTGCACATGAAACTTTAAAAGATGACCACATGGAGCAATTGGTGCAGCTCGGTGCTTGCTCCATCTTTCATGTGACAGAGAGTCAGATTCAATCGGAGGAGGAAGTGAATATGTGCGTCACACAGACAGACACTCTCCTGTTCTTTGTGCCGTTCCGTCCTTGTATTCGTCCTCCTGTTCCTCCTCCCTCGCTCCTCCCGGCTCCAGTTTCATTGTGTGAAGTTTTTCTCCCTCCAGCAGAGGAGACACTTACAGACATTAGACCTCAAGGATCGTTTCACCCATGCTGAGTGACCGGTCATCCTGCAACGTGGCAAACGTAGACGATGCTGCACAGCCACCCACAGGCGATGTTATGTGGAGTTACAAAGTCAAAACTAAGATCACTGAGGGACTGTTTGTAATTTTAGGGGGGGGGGGTGTTGAACACTGTTGTGTGGATAACATATGCAAATGTTATCTTGACTGATATTTCATCCGAGTGACTTTATTCTACACGTCTAATTCAATATTTCACCAAAATAAACTGTTTGCATGAAACATAAACATTAAATTCTGCGCTCCTGCATGACGACAGTGACAAACTAATCTTTTCAGCTCCAGGGTTTCATTTCCTCAAACTTTAACTTTCAAACATCAAAGGATTCGTTATTAAAACCTGAGACCATCCTGTGTGCCGAGGTGCTGATGATCCCACCGCTGTGTTCAGTTTATTTGGCTCATCATGTTGCTGATGTCGGCTGTGTGTGTGTGTGTGTGTGTGTGACTGTCATGCAGCCACATTCTGCTGAAGTGCACGCTAAAATAATTTTTTGTCTCATCCTGAACCAAGATGCAAATTTGTGTTTCCTACACACAAGGAGTGAGGTTTGTCAGGGTTAGCCAATCAGAGGCAGAGTGAGGCGGGCCATTTCTTTGCCACGTCCAAGTCACAGGATGAGTCCTGAAACCGAAACCATCCCACAGGAATCTTTTTTTTCTGCCATTTTAATTTTTCTTTTTTTTCTTTGTTTTTAACAATTTAATATTTTTCAAAAATGGACATATTATTAATTTAATTAATGATAATGTAACAATGTGCCCCTCTGTGTTGAGCTTCACAGTTGGAGCAGTATTAACCCTGCAGCATCACGCAGTGTGTGAAGCTGTTGCATCGTAGCCTATGACTCAGTCGGCGCTGTCATCGTACAGTCTGCTGACATCACACTGGATGTTGTCGTTTATTAGATCCATGTGGCGCAGGAATCCATCAGGAATCCTGAAAAAATGTCTGTGCCTGTAGAGCACACACAGCTTGTGTGATGATGATGATGATGATGATGATGATGATGATGATG